GATCCAGCAGGGCTCTTCGTATGAGTCCTTATCCTTTGCAAGTTTCCAATCCCCCCTGTTGTCTGCACTGCACTCCCCTTTCCCTCGGGTCTTGTGGCTGTGGCCCCTGGGCTCACCCCTGACTCTTCTCTGCCCCAAACAGGCGAATACCGGAGCAGCCTTCACCTCTGCGCGCTCATGAAGCTCGTGAAGGAGATCCCCGAGTTTCTCTATGGACACGCAGCAGCCGCCACCGTGGACCCCACTGCCCCGGCCGGCAGCAGTGAAGCGGAGGGGGAGGATGAGGGGCAGGGGGCTGAGGGTGAGTGAGCCGAAGCTTCCGGCGGGGTGGAGCCTGTTGCGGCCCAGAGGAGGGCCTGTGTCGGTCTGTAGACACCACAGTTTACGGAGGAGAGGCCTGTCGGAGAGCCAGTCTGGCGTGGTGGTGAAGTGCGCGGACTCTAATCTGGGAGAACCGGGTTTGATTCCCCACTCGTCCACTTGCACCTGGCTGGGTGACCTTGGGCAAGCCACAGTTCTGATAAGAGCTGTTCTCTCAAGGGCAGTTTCTGTCGGAGCTCTCTCAGCCCCACCGACCTCACAGGGTGTCTGTTGTGGGGAGCGGAAGGGAAAGGAGTTTGTAAGCCGCTCTGGGACTCCGAGTGAAGGGTGGGGTATAAATCCAATCTCTTGCTCCTGCTCCTCCTCCTCCTCCCAGCAGCCCTCAGTCAGAGCAAGAAGCAGCCAGGTAAGCTGCAAAGCCCGCCCCCCCGGTCCAAAGCAGTCCAGTGGCACCTTTAAGACCAGGTTTTATTCAGGCACAAGCTCTCCCTCCTCTGCGAGGACAGATCTGCATGTGTCCCCCACCCCCCCAATAGCTAGCAATCCGAAACAGTCCAGTGGAGCCTGAGTGGTGGGTGTTGCCTTCTGACACACTTCCGGTGATGTCAGGGGGTGTGGCATATGCAAATAGGTTATGCTAATGAGCTCCTGCGCCTCTTTTTCTACAAAATGACCCCTGCGTAAATGAAATAACCCAAAGGAGGGGAGATTAAACTTTGTGCTGTAGTCATAATGCAGTTTGAGTTCAGATCCCCACTCTGCGCTGGAGCTCTCTGGGTGACCTTGGTCTAGTCATCCTACCTTTGCCTCGCCTGCCTCACAGGGTCGTTGTGAGGACAACAGGGCAAGGGAGAGCCACGGCTGCTGCCCTGAGCTCTTTGGAGAAAGGGCTGGATGAAAATGCACTCGGGGTAGAGGCAAAGCTGCCGGCCTGGCTTCCGGGTCCCCCAGGATGTGGTAAATCGGTCGGAGCGGCCAAAGGGCCCGGAGGGGTCATCGCGGCGCCATCGCGTGAGGTCCTAGCTGGAGGTGTCTTTTCATCCCGTAGCCAAAATGGGAGCCCCGGCGGAGAGCTCACGTCCTCCTAGCCTGGGGAGTGACCCAGTGGATGCTTCGGGGGGCTCGTGCGGCCATTCTGGGACCCCCACCGGTAGCGTGGAGGGAGGCTGGGAAGAGCCTCGACTGCCGGGACTGGACATGCATGGTGAGTCTCCGAAATGCAATGGGTGGGGGGGGGCGGCACTGGTCCTGCTTTCTTTCCGTGGGCTGGCCATCCCATGTGCAAAGAAAGGGAAGCAAGCTGCTGACTCACACAGAGCTCTTCTCCAGGCCGAGGAGAGAGGAAAGGTTAGGGTTGCCAAGTTTCCAGGTGGGCCCTGGAGATTCCCCAGAGTTACAACTGATCACCAGAGAATGGAGATTCGTTCCCTGGGAGAAAACGGTTGCTTTGAACCGTGGACTCTCTGGCATTCTACCCTGCTGAGGCCCCTCCCCTCCCCTCTCCAAACCCCACCGTTCCCAAGGCTCCGCCCCCAAATCTCCAGGAATTTCCCCACCCAGAGCCAGTTTGGTGCCATGTGCAGACTCTAATCTGGGAGAGCCAGGTTTGATTCCCCCCCTCCACTCGCAGCTGCTGGATGACCTTAGGCAAGCTGTAGTTCTGATAAGAGCTGTTCTCTCAAGGGCAGTCCTCTGTCAGAGTTCTCTCAGCCCCCACCTACCTCACAGGGTGTCTGTTGTGGGGAGGGGAAGGGAAAGGAGATTGTAAGCTGCTCTGAGACTCCTTTGGGTAGTGAAGGGCCATGGGGTATAAGTCCAATCTGTTTGGTGTAGTGGTTAAGTGTGCAGACTCTAATCTGGGAGAACCGGGCTTGATTCCCCATTCTTCCGCTCGCAGCTGCTGGATGACCTTGGGCAAGCCATAGTTCTGTCAGAGCTGTTCTCTCAAGGACAGTTCTCTCAGAGCTCTCAGCCTTGCCTACCTCACAGGGTAGTAAGTTGCTCTGAGACACCTTCAGGTAATGAAGGGCGGTGTATAAATCCAATCTCCTCCAGTCTTCTTCTTCTTCTTCATAAGGCCTTCTGTGTTTTGTATTTTTTTTGTTTTGTTTTTTTGCCGGAACAGACGTGGGCACAAACACAGAAGACCCCCTGGGACGAGGGCCGCTGAAGTGTGAGAAAGGAGCCCCTCATGACGGGCCCGACCAGGCCAGAGGGCAGGAGAGCAGGCCTGAGGTGGAGCCGGCTGCTGCTGCGGCCGCAGGTGGGTGAGACGCCACAGTGCGCATTCAACATCCACCCTATAGGAAGGAGCCCCCTTCCCCATGTCGCAGACACTGCCCAGCCAAGAACAGAGCCTCTTCCGTGATGTGCTGGGTACCTTTGCTAACACCTGTGGGTACTCGTTGTTTTCCTCCAAATGAAATTCTGCGGACTGCAATAATTTGCATATGTTGGGGGGGAACACAATGGATAATTTTGCAGAGGACCAAGGTTCAAATCTAGCGTTCAGGTCGTTTAAAAATATGGAATGTTCCAGGAAAAGTCTTTTATTATTATTTTATTTGTTGTTCTTCAGTCGCACAGTCGAGTCCGACACTTCGCGACCCCACACCCAGCAAGCTTCTGTGGCATGAGTGGGGATTCGAACTCAGGTCATGCAAAATCCTTGTGTGGCTCTCTAATCGCTACCCCACATTGGGCGGTACATTCTTCAGCCTGATGCCAGATGCCGTCCAGCTCTGCTTTAGCTGCGCGGCCTGGCAGTGTCTGTTAGGACTTTTGTAAATTAGATAAGGTGGTTTTGGGCAGGGGTCATTTCGTAGAAAAAGAGGTGCAGGAGCTCATTAGCATAACTCATTTGCATAACTCATTTGCATATGCCACGCCCCCTGACATCACCGGAAGTGTGTCAGAAGGCAACACCCACCGCTTAGGCTC